CAGCTTTCAGACATAATTTATTAACTGAAGTATCTGATCTTAAATTTTCTTTTTATTCCCAAGGACTTGGACCAACAATCACTGAGTATGGATTACCAGTGGCAGTTTATCCATGGCATGTAATGTGACCTAAACATCTAAAATGAGTGGGTACAAAAGAGAGACAAATTTTGGACATTGACATTGTAGATTTACCTGCCTATTCAGGGCAGATTGTTGTAATTAAAGGTAATGGGACTGTCAGATAAAGCTGTGATTGGCTGAGGCCTGAACAGTCCTGACCCATTGGTGCGTGAGGCCTATCTGATGGCATATGACTATATTAACTATGTGACGGCCAAACCAGGCATCCCGGTGGACCTAGCACCATCTAAGAGTGGATACTAAAGTTTGCACATTGGCACTGCCTGCCTATTGAGGGCAGATTGTTGTAATTTAAGGTCATGGGACTGTCAGATAAAGCTGTGATTGGCCGAGGCCTGAACAGTCCTGACCCATTGGTGCGTGAGGCCTATCTGATGGCATATGACTATATTAACTATGTGACGGCCAAACCAGGCATCCCGGTGGACCCAGCACTATCTCTTGCCACGGCCGCCCTGCGTCACGCTGGAGATGAGCTGCTCACTCGCTTCCCCATCTTCTTTCGCCGCTGGCCGCGTGTTTTCCAGGACGTGACGGACCGAACGGCCTGCTCGACCCTCGTTTCCATTCTGGATGAGCACTTTGCACCCACACGACATAGAGAGCTCGCCTGGAGCGCAGTGCTGTCTGTGTTTGTTCTTTCTGGACAACTGGCACTGCATTGCCAGGAAAGTGGCATGTCTGATATCCTGCCCCGGATTCAGGAGTGCGTGGGCAGCTACGTAGAGAGGGTCATCTGCCCAGAGATCAGGGACAGAGGAGGATGGGTAAGTGTCAAGGGTCAAAGGAGGTCTCTTCTCGTTAAGCCTCAGGACCCATTTGGTTCCATTCTGAATCATTATAATGATTCATTATTGTCGCCAGATGCTAGCTGAATCAGGTGCTTCAAAAAGTGAAATCTGGGCTTGCAAGATGTTTCAAGACGTTTCCTGCAGAACTGGAACAGCACATTTAAATATTTTGGAACATTAGATTGTGCTATTAGTGTAATGCACTGTAACCAGTATATTTTCCTGCAAAATAAGCACAGAAAATGCACAAGGAAAAAAAAAAAGACATTATTTACAATGGCGGACATTGCTAAAGGCATTTCACAGTCTTTTCCCTGTAGATGCAGATTAGGTGAACCAATAAAATTGGTTACTGCCATGATTTCAGCAAAATTTTACCACTCTAGAAATTCACGGTTACTCATATTTCATCTTCGTGGGACATATTTTATTATCATACTTATGATTCTATTTTTTTTTTAGTATCATAGCTCTTGAGTACCTGAACATTTCTTAATTAGAAATTATATAGTGCTACAGAATCGCCCTTATTTTTAGCAGTAGCGCGAATGTGCAAGGCTTGCATTTATTTGAGTAATTTTCCAGTTATTTTACCTGTACAAAAACAGTCCCTTGTATGCTGCTGATATTGCAAACCGGCATACATTATTTACAATGGCGGACATTGCTAAAGGCATTTCACAGTCTTTTCCCTGTAGATGCAGATTAGGTGAACCAATAAAATTGGTTACTGCCATGATTTCAGCAAAATTTTACCACTCTAGAAATTCACGGTTACTCATATTTCATCTTCGTGGGACATATTTTATTATCATACTTATGATTCTATTTTTTTTTTTAGTATCATAGCTCTTGAGTACCTGAACATTTCTTAATTAGAAATTATATAGTGCTACAGTATCGCCCTTATTTTTAGCAGTAGCGCGAATGTGCAAGGCTTGCATTTATTTGAGTAATTTTCCAGTTATTTTACCTGTACAAAAACTTGTCCCTTGTATGCTGCTGATATTGCAAACCGGCATTTGTTATCATATCATTTAAATGTATTTTTTGTAATCAAATACACTGGTTTGTAACGCATATAGTTTTACCGTTTAGTGCACAAGCAATTCTAGTTATTTATTGGCGATTAATCACTCGGAAGTCTCGCACATTCACAGGAAATAGCGTACTTTTGCGTTGAAAAATAAGGTGGATACTTATATTGTGATTATTTTATGAATTTCTAATATTGTGTACTGCTCTCAGTCAGGTTTTATCAGTCGTTTCGGCGAGAAGCAGAATCTTGAAGATCAGGTGATGAGTGTGTGCTGCTGGTCTCTGCTCCTGCTGAGTGTTGGGGTCTTATCCAGTGTTGCCAAACCCCTCCCTCAGAACATCTCTAGAACCACCCTCAAAAGTCTCCATTTTTCACAAAAAGGTTGACATGACTGTGGTATAACTTTTGTGTCCGTGGTTAAAACAAGATGTTCATTTTTTTCTCCGCCATCTTGATTGATGCTTATAATGAAATTGTGGTGTGCGTCATGGCAGGCGTGGCGTACTGGTGTGTTCACTGCGCAGACTCGTTAGGAGCGTTCGACTAGAAGCACGGCTACAGACGACATAATGTAACTAAAATTCAAATAAATAACAAATACAAATCAAATGACAGTATCAGTAATCCTAAAAAATAACACTGCCAAACACACATGCTAAAAAACAACAACTTACACATAGTAAGAAATGGTTATAAAGCTTTCATGATAAACGTGACTCAATATAACATTGCGACTACAGTAAAAAAGCTTTTAATGTTCTAAAAACACAGATTTATGAGCAGTATTGGATTTGAAGACGTTAGAAACACACGTCATTCTTGTCATGTGTTGAATTTGGCCAATCGTGAAACAGCTGTGTCGTCATCAGTGCTAGGTCGCGGGCCTATGGCAGGGTGTGGCCAAGTAAAAAATAAATCTCCAAAAAATCGCTAGTTTTATTTAAATAGAGCTAAAATAGCTCCTTGTCGCAAAAAATGAGAAAGTAGCTAAATTTGGCGACAAAATCCCCAAATTGGCAACACTGATCTTATCCTACTTGGTGTGGACGAGAAGAAAAACTTAGACAACAGCGCCATCTGCTGAGAAAATGTAATAAGGACACTCATGATTCGCTCGGTTTGTGGTAAGATTAAGATAACGTATTTCAGTATTACTAGTTTTGAAGCTATGGACACTAATTGTTATGTAACTGCTAAGAATAAACCCCCATTGTTAATAATCACCATGTTACCACCATTTGTTTTCAGTTTGAAGGGCTCTAATTATGCCGGACAAATATCCAATTATGAGCTGTGTATTATACTGAAGCTAATATTCATGTTTAAATTTAAATTAAAACATAATGGCCGCACATGACTGATGCATTTCTCATTATCTCAAAGACCCTTTGATATTATTTGATATAGTTCACTCTAAAATTAATATTCTGTCATTTACTCACTCTCATGTCCTTCCAAATCTGTAAGACTATATTTCTTTTGTGAAACATAAAACTAGATAATTTAAGAAATGTCTGTTTTTGTTCGTACAGTGGATACTTTTTCATATGATCATATTTTGTGTTGTACAGGTGTAGGAAAGACATGAGAGTGAGTAAATGATTCTTAAATGTTTGAAATTAGTTTTCTAGACATAAATTGTATAGCTTTTTTTTTTCTTTTTGTGCTTGTTTATACAAAACTCAATTTATTAAAGAATATTAAATCAATGATCTCCATGAACGAATAGCTGCCAAGCAGCCACCATGTTAGAGATTGTCCAGAATTATGATACATAAAAATACTAAAAGATATATACATAAATAGATCAAATCTAATTACACATTTCTGGTCACTACTGAACTCTCATTCATGTTATTAGGTTTAATAACCTTAACATTAAGAGCAGACACATTTCAAAACATTATATATATATATATAAAACTTATTCACGGTTAATTTTCATAGATCAATTTACACAACTTGAAATGTTCAAATGCATTAACCAATATTTATGGCATGTCATATTCATTTTTATTTGTTACCAGCACTAGCCTTAACGCACGATTAGAAGAATGGTAAAACTTGCATATGTGGATGTTATATAATTGGTGACTGTTGAAACTTATGACTGGTAACGTAAATAAACTTTCTGCATGTGATCAGTTAGACCATGTGATGTCTAGAGGCAATCCCAACTGGTCTGACAAGGATCTGTCAGTGTATGTGACCAGTGAAGAATGAGGATGGGTTCAAATAATTGGTTCATTCATATTTGCAAAGTGAAAATTAAGGAAATGAAGAGCGAGACATTTTAACAGAAGAAAAAAACCTTTAATGACATCTGTACAAACAAGAGGCAAGAACAGAAAAAGAAAACTAAGCTTTGGATGTTTTTTTCCTTGTAAATGAGCAAAATTATACAGACTGGAAAACAACACGTATATTAAGAGACTTAAGCCAGCTCTTCCTCTCCCTCCTCCTCAAACTCGCCCTCCTCCTCTGCGGTGGCATCCTGGTACTGCTGGTACTCGGACACCAGGTCGTTCATGTTGCTCTCGGCCTCGGTGAACTCCATCTCATCCATACCTTCTCCTGTGTACCAATGCAGGAAAAGGTTTAATAACCTTAACATTAGACACATTTCAAAACATTATATATATATATATATATATAAAACTTATTCACGGTTAATTTTCATAGATCAATTTACACAACTTGAAATGTTCAAATGCATTAACCAATATTTATGGCATGTCATATTCATTTTTATTTGTTACCAGCACTAGCCTTAACGCACGATTAGAAGAATGGTAAAACTTGCATATGTGGATGTTATATAATTGGTGACTGTTGAAACTTATGACTGGTAACGTAAATAAACTTTCTGCATGTGATCAGTTAGACCATGTGATGTCTAGAGGCAATCCCAACTGGTCTGACAAGGATCTGTCAGTGTATGTGACCAGTGAAGAATGAGGATGGGTTCAAATAATTGGTTCATTCATATTTGCAAAGTGAAAATTAAGGAAATGAAGAGCGAGACATTTTAACAGAAGAAAAAAACCTTTAATGACATCTGTACAAACAAGAGGCAAGAACAGAAAAAGAAAACTAAGCTTTGGATGTTTTTTTTCCTTGTAAATGAGCAAAATTATACAGACTGGAAAACAACACGTATATTAAGAGACTTAAGCCAGCTCTTCCTCTCCCTCCTCCTCAAACTCGCCCTCCTCCTCTGCGGTGGCATCCTGGTACTGCTGGTACTCGGACACCAGGTCGTTCATGTTGCTCTCGGCCTCGGTGAACTCCATCTCATCCATACCTTCTCCTGTGTACCAATGCAGGAAAGCCTTGCGCCTGAACATAGCCGTGAACTGCTCTGAGATTCTCTTGAACAGCTCCTGGATGGCCGTGCTGTTGCCGATGAAGGTGGCGGCCATCTTGAGTCCCCTGGGAGGGATGTCACACACAGCGGTCTTGACGTTGTTGGGGATCCATTCAACGAAGTAGCTGCTGTTCTTGTTCTGAACGTTGAGCATCTGCTCGTCCACCTCCTTCATGGACATGCGGCCACGGAAGATGGCGGCGACTGTGAGGTAGCGGCCGTGACGCGGGTCGCACGCGGCCATCATGTTCTTGGCGTCGAACATCTGCTGCGTGAGCTCCGGTACGGTTAGAGCGCGGTACTGCTGGCTCCCCCTGCTGGTGAGAGGAGCAAAGCCAGGCATGAAGAAGTGGAGACGGGGGAAGGGCACCATGTTTACAGCCAGCTTGCGCAGATCTGCATTGAGCTGGCCGGGGAACCTGAGGCAGGTGGTGACTCCGCTCATTGTGGCGGAGACGAGGTGGTTGAGGTCACCGTATGAAGGTGTGGTGAGTTTGAGGGTGCGGAAACAAATGTCGTACAGAGCTTCGTTGTCGATGCAGTAGGTCTCGTCTGTGTTTTCGACCAGCTGGTGGACAGACAGCGTGGCGTTGTATGGCTCTACTACGGTGTCGGACACTTTGGGCGAGGGCACCACGCTGAAGGTGTTCATGATGCGGTCGGGATACTCTTCGCGGATCTTGCTGATGAGGAGGGTGCCCATGCCAGAACCAGTGCCTCCACCGAGAGAGTGGGTGAGCTGGAAGCCTTGCAGGCAATCGCAGCTCTCGGCCTCTTTACGAACCACATCCAGGACGGAGTCTACCAACTCTGCTCCCTCGGTGTAGTGGCCTTTAGCCCAATTGTTTCCAGCACCACTCTGACCTGTTGCAATAGGCAAAATATTTAATTTTCACAACTTTATTTTTAACATTAATGGCATTTAATTAGATTAACAACAATACTTACCAAAAACAAAGTTGTCTGGCCTGAAGACCTGACCGAATGGTCCAGATCTCACAGAGTCCATGGTACCAGGCTCCAAATCTACCAACACAGCACGGGGCACATATTTGCCTCCTAAAATAATACAAAACGTGGTTAAAATACAAAATGGTTTACCCTCATAGTTTTCATAACATCTGCGCTCACTTAGTAGTATTGATGTGGACATACCTGATGCCTCATTGTAATAGACATTGATCCTGTCAAGCTGGAGGTCGCTGTCACCATGATACGAGCCGGTGGGATCAATACCATGCTCATCACTGATAACCTCCCAGAACTAAAGAATATAATAGATAACATTAAAGGACTGGAATTCAGAATATTGAATGTAAAACTAAAGGGAACAATTAATGACAATTATATTCATGCATGAAAGATTTAAAAACAACAATGTATCGGTTTATATTGTGAACTGAAATATTTCACTAAAGCTGTGCTTTTCAAATATTCACCGCGTGGGTCACACAAAAGGCCACAACTGTCCACAAACTCCCACGCATGTTTCGCATCAACATGCTGTTTGTACATCTAATGCGCGTTTTAACATTTTTAATTCGTTTAGAATTTGTTACAAAGTTGCAGACAATCGATGTTCTTTAAACTCTTCCCGCGCAAAACTCGCGCGCGCGGCACGCACACCGGTTGGCTGAGATCCATTTCCGGCGCCGTTACGAACTAATCGAGTTATTGGGGCCCAATTTTCTTTTTAAATATATATAAGTATATTTGAATTAGCAAGTCTAAACTATCTTTAGTCTGGTAAAATTTAATGTAATTATTCCATTAAAAAAAACTTAGACCGTTTAGACCGTGATTAGCTTTTACTTCCTTCTGTCGCAGTGCAGTGAATCGCACAAAGGGAGGCTCCAGACAGACGCCGGGGAAAACGAGCAGATGGCACGAACATATACATATTCCTTGAACAACTACTAAATTTCGTCGTCTTTTTAGTTTTTCCAAGCGTTTGTAATAAATTATAACTCGATAGAGTTAGCACACCGCTTGTCCTAAATTTCATTCAAACCAGATCAGAACATCCGCTTTAGGCGGCACGTAATTGACTGCGTAACGTTACATGAGAGAAAATATAAATAATAGATTAATTTAACAAATATCTCAAATTAAATGCAGTATCTAGTTTTCTATATACTCTACATTATAAACCAACAACTGCAAGTTTTAAAGAAATAAGCAGACCTTGGCTCCGATCTGGTTACCGCATTGTCCGGCTTGAAGATGCACGATTTCCCTCATTTTTACTCTTAAGATAGAAGATTTTGAGAAAACGGTAAGCCTTTTTCTTTCTTCAACTGGTCAGGAACGGAGACTTCCCCCATATAAATAGACTCCCCGTCCCCCGCCCCGGACACAAGGTTAGTATGTATGTATCAGATCGCCATTAGCTGTTTTCGAAGAGCCCGCCCAAATGTGTCGTTCTGCCCAATCACAGTCGAGGCCGAGAATGCTGATTAGCCCTCATCGACTGTCAGTCAAATTTGAAATCAACGTAACGTATTTTTTTACGGCAGTACTTTGTTTTATTAAAAAAAAAGAAGAAAAGAAAATTGTTGACATACCAGTTGAAGCAAATTCCTGTAATGGAGCTGTAAATCGCACACAAACGCTTGGTTGTTTATGCTTCTGAAATATTCTGCGTGCCAAGACTCAGTCTAAGCAGCTCAGTATGATAACAGGAAGGAAGTAAAATGTAAAATTATATTTAGAGAAGTCCAGTGGCTAAATATCATAACATAAATACACAACTGTGTAAGATACTGTAGAATATTTAACAAACAAACACTCAGTGTTTATCTCAAATTTCTCAGTGTTAAATCAAAGCCATTATACATTGCTGTTCAGTTTTCCTGCATTTACTACAGTAGACACTGTTTAGTGGCTTGGTAACAAATATTGGCCTCTTCAGTTCCTCTGTTTTCCAGCTATGGTATATAGGCTAATTAAATTCTGCCCACTTGACATAAAAAAGAGTGAGCGGAAAATCTCTTGTGAAAAAGAAGTACATACTTTTTAAAGCATCATTTTTAAAAGAGTACTTATTAAGTGAATAATATACTTTAAAAGAATATACTGTGAACTGAATGTAATGTTTTCAGACACATAACTGCATACTAATTGCAATTAAATGCAATTATAATTTAAATAAATAATTAGTGTTTTTTGGCATCACTTAAGTAGGATGAAAGTACATCGTTATATGTAATTGCATTATTATTTCTATTGTCTTATAAATAATGTTAAAGTATAATAGGTGCATATTTGTATGTTAGTCAACAAATATACTTCTTTAAAGCCAAAATATTTTAAAATAAAATTAATTTAAATGGTTTAAATTGTACTTTAAAATAAAGTGTTTAATCTAACATTATTACAAAGTGCACTTTTTTAGAAAGTGTACGTAAGTGTGTTTTAAGTCCTGAAAGTGACCCTCTCTTTTAAGTTTACTTAAATGGCTTTTTTTATTATTATATTAGATTAGATTATACAAGTGCACAATTAAGCACACTTCTGTTTCAAATTGTGAGAAACGTGTTGTTCTCTTGTCAAAGCCAGAGATAAAGCATCATACATATGATTATGATGTTTTTTAATATTTTGGCAACATGAAGCCCTTTTGCAGTTATTCTCAAAAATAAATGATGAAGTGTTTTTTGTGCTTTTGTGTATGTGTGAAAGTGAAGAAAACATAAATGTAATTATATTAAGGTTTCATGTTTCACAGGCAGACACTGTTCTGGTTTGGGTGCAGTTGTATTATTAAAAACCAATCTGACTGTAGGAGAGGGAATGCATGGTAATATAATCTGCCTTGGCTCAGTTGGTGTGATTTAGGCTGAGAGAATGAGGGTTTGCCCCAGTCCTCCTGCTGTAACATGGGCAAAGTCCTCAGGGGATTTTACAGGCCTGACCAGATATAAGATTGCAGATACTGTTACAGAGGCAGATGGCACATTGATGCCTTTAATGTGAATAATCTGAAATGAGACTACTTATGTACAGTTCTCCTGTTGTTTCACTACAATGCATAAGTTGCTCAGTACACTTAATCGTGACGATAAAATTAGGTTAATTACAGTGAGTAACATAAGAGCACTTAGATGAGTCGTGGCAGTTTCGTGAAGTTCTTTCAGTATTGATGAGTCCAACTTTCCGGTTATGGTTATATAGACAAAAAAAAATCAATGATATGCTTGTGATTTTGTCATAATTTATTCCCAATCATGTCAGAATCATAAAGAACGAGCCTCAAAGAGCCTAACTCTTTTCTTATTCTAAAAAGTATACGTTAAGAGATCTCATGTGCCAGTTTCCCAGGGAACGTGCGAGTAAAAGAGGGTGGAGTGGGTCAGCGTTATAAAAAGTGAGAACTGGGTGAGAGTCAAACAAAGACGTCATTCTAATAGCTTAGTGTGCAGGAGAAGTCAGAGGCCGCATACATATTTGTAAACTGATATATTTTCATTTGTATGAGATTTGTGAGATCTAATAACAAACAAATATATCCATTTAAATGTTAAATTTTTATAAAATAGCTTGTTTAATCTCATATTGTTTAATCACAATTTCATAACTTGATCTTTTGGTGAAACGACAGTCTTCGCTCTGATGATGGATGCTAGAATTCTCCAATCATTTATTCGGCTTAAACCACAATCAACTGCAAGCTTATGTTCATTTTCTAATGCAGGGTCCACATCTCAAAATCCAATCATCAAATAATGCATAGACCCAAGTCCCGATCCTACATTATTTTCTTTTTCAGTAATCCTTTTTACTCAGATGTGTGTAACAATATGGAAGAAAAGATCTGTCACTACCTCCACTTCATTGCAACTTTAATCAAAATGTAAAAACTTGCTCTTCCTCTGAAATTACTTTCCTTTGGCCCACACAGGTTATTCAATAATGTTAGCCTGATAGCTACAATCCAGCTACAATCCAATCAATTCATCATGGATAAAATCATGTTTCACTTGGGAACATGTGACATTTCTGAAGTAAAATTTGTTTCTAATGGGGACTCACATTGACTTTCACACAGCGGCCGTGTTGCAGTAAATGACATTAGATACATTCTACAGAGACATTAATTGGACACACCCTGTCTATCTGTCTCTCTTCACACCTTTCTAATAGTTCCATTCATAGACAAACACATCCTGCAATCATTTCCAAATTGCATAAAAATTAAAGCACTCATTTATGAAATCCTCAGTGACCCTTTGTCCAAAAGAAGTAGACTTTATCATATTTTAAAAATGAGTACTTATTACGGAAATAATATGCTTACAAATATATAATTAAGTTAATATATTTTAAATGCAATTGCAACTTAACACTACAAATGTGTTACATGACAAAAAGGTTTCAACAGAAACGTTATTATATTTCTATATAGTATATTTTAGCTTACCATAAATGCAGTACATTCAGTACATTTCAAAAGACAAAGTGTAGAAAAAAGTTTCAGCTCACACTCAATTAATTCACTAGTTAAAATAGTCAGCACATACAAATAAGTGTCCATCTTTAAAGCACTTAAAAGATTAATAAAACAATGATTTAAATTGCACTGTAATGTTAAACTTACAATTAGACATTATTACAAAGTGCACTTTCTAAAATTAAACAGGAAAGTCATGAAAGTCTCACAGAACTAATCGTTGCCTGGGTTGCGTACGTATATGTGGGGCGGAGCTATCAAAATAGGGGCAAGACCCTTTTGGGGTAGGGGCGTGTTTGTTTTGGTGATTTCAAATATCAACATTGGCTACCAGAAATCACTTACTCTGCCTTTAATTCAGATCTGTCGCAAAAGCATTTCAGCTGTTAAATGAATTAGAATTTGTTTTCATTGAATTGTCTGCTATGTCCTTGCCTTCTGTTGACCGACCATCTGATTAGAGATCCCCTGAAGTGACAGTGAATGTCTCTTGTCCCTGACTCAGCATATGTTCTGCCAGTGAACCATGCTAGTGCTTGCAAAGTATTTAGACTCATGTGGTGGATGATAAAATAATCACGTTCTCAAGTTTTTAAACTGTTCTTTACACTAAAAAAAAAACATGGTTCTATTAAGATCTGTTCACTAAATGTTTCTTTAAGGAACCAAAAATGGTTCCTCTATCTATGGCATCACTGCGAAAACCTCTTATTGGAACCTTTATTTTTAAGATAGCCACTATTGCAAGTTTAGCAACGTGCAGTCGCCCTGAGCACCTTAGCAGCACCCTGTCAAAGACTTCAAGTCTCGGTACCAACAGGGATTGTAGGTGGGGGGAGTGAATGACCAGTGCTCTCTCTTCCACCTTCAATACCACGACTGAGGTGAGACCCTTGAACAAGGTACCGAACCCCCAACTGCTCCCCGGGCGCCGCAGTAAAAATGGCTGCCCACTGCTCCGGGTGTGTGTGTGTTATTCACTACTCACTCCTGTGTGTGTGCACTTGGATGGGTTAAGAGCTCAAATTCAAAGTATGGGACACTATACTTGGCCATACGTCACGCCACTTCATTAGTCATGGGTGAAATCTCAGTGTGGAATATCCTGCATACGAACAGCTGTTTCTCACAGAGCATCAGCTGTAGATGGGAAATTCACCCAGATCCCACAGGATAACAGGTTGCACTGTACACATGATCAATAACTCATAATCAGTAATCCACCACTGTACATAACACATTACAACCGCAGTGTAGCATAAACAGAGTCAGATGCACTTACTGTTGTTTATTATTTTGGAACAGCTCTTTGAAGCACGCTGGTGAATCTGCCTATCCCCCCGCAGCAGCCAGGAGCCTGAGTCATGGCCTCATCCCCTCAAATCACTTCCCAGAGTCAGCTGCTGTAGACACGGCTGCTTAGGCCCAAAAGAAGGCTTCGTACACAGAACTCACAAGTGCATTTGACCACAACATTAAGCTCTTTTTATACAGTACTGGCTAGAGGTCCCAAAATCTGTAACTCAGCTTTAAGTGCTCATGAGAAAAACAAGCCTGTAATAATTTCTCTCGTTTGCCCTATTATTTGAGTTCTATACAGACTAACAGGTCCACAGAATTAAAAAAAAAAAAAAAAAACCTGCGTTGTGTATGAAAGATATCAACAAGTTTGACTGCAAATGTGATGAATGAGACAATAGCTGTTTCAAAACCGAAGGTTTTATGTTAGCATGTTGCATAATAATCATAAATTTCATCACACACAAATGTCAGGTAAAACTATTTTATAGATAATTTTTTGAGTATTTCTGTATCATTGATCATTCTCTGTGTTGTTTTGGTATTACTGAGGTACTATTTTATTTTTATTAATATTT